TGTCACACACTGGACCTTTAATGATACTCATAATACATACATTAATACACATCAGAGCAATATATCAACTGTGTCTCATATATCCGGAAATTCCTCCTCCCTCCTCTCTCCTCCTCCTCTCTCCCTCCTCCTCCTCCTCAATGCTGCAATCTCGCCATCCACAAGTTCTGAGGCCAAGCCAGACAAAGTGATCTACACGTCTGCGCCTTCATATACCCCAGATCCCCTCACTAAAAGTTCTTCCTGTGTAGGCCAGCTTTTAATGCCAACAGCTGTCTGATCGTCCGGTAATCACCCTGCGAGTCTGTGGCCAGTGAGGCTCCAGATCGGACAGTTTTTAAAAGTCATGTGAGAGAACTGTTTGTATTCTCCTTGTCCTCCTTCCCTCGACGTGCATCCCAGTCTGCGAGGTGACTGAGAACAGATTTGGACATATGCCGGAGCTGTCAAACATCACCTCCCCCCCCCCCCTCCTTCCTCCTCTTTCTCCCTCCTCCTCCACCCACCCTCAAAACTGTGGACCATGTCCGCTGCCTGCAGTTTGACCCCCCCGTGCCAGGGATTAAAGACATCCTCCTCTCTTCAAAAGCGTTGGCCGCAGGTTTGATCCCGAGCATATATAAAAATATTCTTCTTGCAGTTTTATAAACATGTGAAAAGACCTCCTGTGCTCAAAAACCTTACCAGCACATGAAAAGCTAAGAACAACAAACCTCAACAAAAATCTAACTACTAGTCAGGGCTACAAACTGAACTGGGACTGGTCAACTTTGGCTGCCACAAATTAAGCTTAAACTGAACAACTCAGAGGTCTCATGTTTATTCATTTGTGTATGTTTGATGTATTGTAAAGTTTTATATCTTTACATTTACCGACTTTCCCAAAACCACCTTGTCTACTTCAGCTTCAATTACCAAATTCCTGTGTCTCCAAAGCCTCGACTATGGTATTTATATGCAGACTGATGCCTGACTGAAGCAGAGGAGGCAGCACTGAGCCAATTGATTATATGACTCCAACATGGTGGCACACTGCTAATACATATATGCTAGAAAAGTTTGCTACCCTGCAAGTTTCCCATTTTGAATGGCCGACCCGAACAACCACTCACCATTCATCATTTATCAAGATGATAACAGAAATTTACAAATCCTCCAACACCCCAGCACACATCTCAGTTCTCCTCAAACCTAACAAGGATCCTAATCTCTACACAAGCTACTGCCCCTTATCACTTATCAATACAGAAACTGTGTTGATAGTTATTAATAAGGCACTACCTATGAGATTGGAAAAAGTCATCCATATATAAATTCACCCAGACCAAACAGGTTTCATCAAAGGTAGACATTCCTCAAACAATACATGGCGCCTTTTCAACCTAATAAATATATACAAAAACACATTCATCATATATTAGATGCAGAGAAAACCTTTAACCATGTAAACTGGGTCTTTTTATTTACAACACTAAATAGGCTTGCCATTGGAGTCATTTATTAAATGGATTAACCTCAACCTCAACTTTACCCCCCCCCCCATGCTTAAATCCAACGATCAGTTAAACCTCTGGAATAATTTACCACTCTCCCTTGCAGGCCGCATTGCAACAATCAAGATGTCAATTTTAACCCGAATCAACCCCCCTTTTGTAAACGACCCCTGTCCAACCAACACCCAATTGGTTCAATACACTTCTCTACTGGAAAAATAAACAACCTAGAATCAAACTCACAACACTACAGAAAAGCAAATGAAAATGAAAAGCTTGAGGTTTAAATGCCCCAAATTTCCTCCACTATAATGTATTTATAAAATGGATTCACATCCATCCAACATCCACCAAGAGCTAGACCCAAGGCCTCAGAATGCGACAAAACTCTATCCAAGATTTCCAGTTTCTCTAAGCAACAATAAAAAAAGCATAACTGCAACAAAAATACAACTGTGTTTCCCCAGATCCCCAAATTACACACTATGTAAACTCACTCCAATTTGAAATAACCCAGGATTTATATTCGACAAGCACACCTTCTGTTTTAAATTATGGAATATCAAAGGAATCACCCACTTAGAACACCTGTTTTAAACAATATCATATTTATACTATATGATATAACACAGATGTTTTATATTATTTAAGAACATTTTCTACAATAGCCACAACTCAAAAATGCACCGGGAAAAAAATACACAACATAAGAATAACATAATAACCATCATATTCCAAATCCTTGGCTCACAGCCTTCTGCTCCCCCTTTCCTCCTCCTTTTAGGAGACCTCACACCCATCAGGCTTCTACACAAATACCACAACAACATACCTATCGCCTTGACCATTGCAAAAAAAGAATACTTTTCAACTGAAAATGCAGACAAAACATAAAAACATCACAACTAGGGCTGCACAGTTCATCGAAATATTATCGAAAGTGCAATATGCAAATCGCAAGAGCTGTAATGTTTTGATGAAGGTAAAATGTGTGACAAAACAGCATTATGATGAGGTACTGTAGTGCTACAGAACTGCCCTGGTCTACAAATCTTTGTTAATCATTTGTTTGGTACAGACCCCCAAAAATGTCACATCACCATGATTTGAATAGTTTTTGAGAAATTTGGAACTGGGTCCTTATTGATCCAGGTCTTAATTGCCATCCCTACTTAAGCGAAAGCAACAGGACTTAATGTTAAGCATTGTAAGAGGTCCTTGATTTTGAAAAAGGCATCAGTTTACCCAAAACATAAAAGCCAACAAACAAACACATCTTCCCCTATTCCTAAGGGATTCTGCCCTTTCAAATACTTAAATTATCAATGTGCTGAAGCCATAAGATATATGGTGTCAGCACCGCAAGCAAAATTATATTTTCCTACTGGGGGAAAGCAGGTATATCAGAGATGGTTTTCTCAAAACCTTAACAGCTTAAATATATAAATGATAAAAATGAGAATGAGAATAATGCACCATTTTAACAGTATGAACATGTTTTAGAATGCTCTTTAAATCAGTAAATTCAGTCTCACTACTTGTTGTTTGCATCAGATTATCTGTCAGTGGACTAAATGATTTAGCAGAAAATAATAAAAAAGCAGCTTAAAACGATAACCTGCTTGAAGACCCGCTGTAGATGACTACAGTAGGCGAACTGGCTGTCTGTGCGCTGACTTTTTTTTCATCAGTTTGCAGGCAGACAATAGCTGCACAGTATCACACACACACACACACACACACACACACAGGATACAGAACACTGCGGCCCACCAAAGCCTAGTGTTTATTCTGTTTTGTTTTTAATCACAGCAAGCCTAAACTCTAGATGTAATTTTCCACTCTGCATACACCTAAACACAAACACAGACACATAGAAAGATACACATACACATTCACAGACACACACACATACAGTACGGTACACTCAGCTCTACAATTACCCCTCAATTAGAGATAATAACATGACCACTTCCTGACCAATCACCTGCCTTGCTATGACTCACACACTGTCGCTCCACAATCTCTCTCTCTCTCTCATACACACACACGCACACACACACTCACTTACTTACTCACTCACTCACTTACACACACACAAACCCACACACACATATACTTACTATTTGTCACAGGACACATTCAGCTGCTGTTCACTCCATTTACTTGCTCATTGAGCTGCTTAGGGGGAATATAATTGGTTGCAAAATGAGCTTGCATACACACTGGACAGAAAGTCACACACACACGCACACATTAGATTCACACAAAACATCCCAAAAATACAATTAAGTCCATAATTCATATGCATATCTCCATAAGACAACACACACACACACAGTAATAAATCATTTAGTCTTTATTTTCATGCACTAGCATTTCCCTGAGGTACAGGTTACAATACAGGTTATTGTCTAGTCTGTGATGATTTACTGATCCTTTCCCCATGTCTCCATACAAAAGCATCACGTAACGTTTTAATGTAAAACAGTCAAATCAAACAGAATTTATCTTAAAATGAACCAAATATGGTTTACATTTATTTTACTTATGGCATTGCAGTGGCATTTAAGTTCACATGGTGACTGTATGGATCATGTCATCACGCACAGAAACACAGTGACCATTTGATTTTGTAACATGCCCAGAATCGTGAATTCAAACTCAAAAAGAGACATCATCTGATCTTTGCAGCATATTCAAGCTGCTGTATTCTTATTTGAAACTATGCACAAACGTAGAGCCCAGAATCTCTAAATGTCAGTCCAGCATCTTAATAAAAACACCACACTACTGTCATAACAGCATTAATATCAGCTCTAAAGGTAAACTCACCTCTCCTCGGTTCCACAATGCTAGTGAAGGCACACTCCCAGGCGGATGGCTCAGTGTTTTTGTTCACAACAAAGTTCATGTGCACCTGTACACAGTACTCCACACCTCTCTTTAGGTTGGCAAGAGTAAAACTCTTGTTTTCAGTGTTGTAGGGTTCCTCCTGAAGGTCAAATATGAAGGGAAAACATATTAAAAGTATTTCTATTGAAGCCTCATCTGTGACCCCAGCACTCTAACTGTACATTAATGCATCATTTTGTCACAATATTGGATTTTAATCTTGGGTTTACCCTGGACAATCATTGTATCTCACAACATCTATGGGATCAAGAAAATACCTTTGAACATATAACCCACTCCTGGATACCAGGTAAACAAAAATTACTTTTCCCTTAAGGTTTGCGCGGAGAACTCTTTGTGACCAGATCACAGAGTAACATACAGAGAGCTGAGGTCGCAGATGGCACTAATTCCACTCCAACGGGAAGATTGGAGTTTGTGTTTTATTGATTTTGGTCCGAAACAGAGCTCCCCTGGAAGTAGAAATGATCCTATTGTGTTGAGTTAAACTTGAAAGGCCAGGGAGTGATAAGCTAGTGGCTGTAGGTAATGCAACTAATGGACCCTTTTCATGGCAGACAGTATTTCATCCAATACTGTACAATATCCAGTGTCTAACTTGCTGAAATTCCTTGCCTCTTCTCCTTCTGGAGAAGCTCTGCCTCTGGAAAATATTTGATTAACTAGTTGTGGCTACATTATATGTACAGGTCTGGAGGAATTAAGTTCAGTAATCCATGCAGACATAGTGATCACACATAATACGATACGATAAGAATCATTATGAGAAATTGTTGGTTTGACATATGAGTGAAATGGATTTCTTACCACTGTTCCATTACGTTTCTTCCAGAGAATCTTGAACTTCCCACCGTAGAATTTCTGGATGTCATTGATTTGTGATCTCTTGTTAGCCTTCGGGATTGAAATGTTGATATGGATGCAGTTGCCACATCCAGCCAGTGACAGTTTTGGACTAGTTATTTTGGCTTGGCACAAAGAAAAAAAAAATATATATATTTTAAATTTAGGCAATTTATGCTTGATTAGAAATTCAAGTGCAGAGTGTTTTTTAATATCATTTTCTGCATGCAACCAATATTATGACCAATTCTCCACATCGGGCAAAGGTGAAAATTTAATTTAATACAGATGAAACACATCTGTTGAACCAATTTAGTATATTTATTCAGTCTAAATTCACTACATTTTTTAAGTTAAAAATTATTCTTGATTGAACAGTTTTTACTAGCAATTTAAAGTGAAAGTTAAAAAAACATTCCTGATTTCTTGATTATGTACTTTTTACTAGGAATTTTGTTTTCACAGAACAAATCGATATTACAAAATTAATTCAGTATCACTTAAAATAATAATATCAAAGCTACTTGATCAAGAATGCTTTTTTAACTGTTTCACACATTTTTTAACATGCCAATTGAAAGAAAGAAAAACCTTAAGAGCTGCTACTTTACAGAATGGAATAACAAAAGATAAAAAAAGAGGTATTTTACCTTTAGGAAATAGTTACATTTCTCTAAAAGTTGTTTGTTTTACTTCTTTAGCTAACCTATACCTTTATTAGGTGCTGCTGCAGTGACACAGTAAAATTCACCCTTATCTGTCGGCAACAAAGTGTAATATGTCATTAATTAACTCCAAGGCAACAAGCATGCACTCAAAATATATAAAAATTGACGTACTGTCTTCGTAAGGGCTGAATAATAACTTGTTGGACTCTGGAGACAGGGTTTTGTTGTAGGACGCTTGGACAGTCAGTTCATGAAGTTCTCTTTGTGCATCTACGGTTTTGGACCTCAGCGTGAATGATGTCTCATTTGATAGCCATTCCCGTTTCTTAATCTCGTTCTTCCTGCAGGGAGAAACAGAGCTCAAACATTGTCTTGCAGTACCCTCAGCTTGCCTGGCAGGTAACAAACGATCACATGTCACTTAATAAACAGATGTTAGCAACAAAAAATTGCAGTACAGACATTCCAGTGTTTGAGGTAAGTTTTTAGATTACATCCTCGGTCATATTGTGCCCCTGTTACATACAATGTATGCCACAACAATGACAACATTTTTATGTGTTCTTATATCAAAATATAATCTAATTTTTTCCTTTCTGTAAAACAAAATGTGATGCAAGCTTGAACCAACCTATTTCAACCAATAATATAATGACATATTATTGATATACTATCAATGAATCTAACTTTAAGCACCACAGAGCTAGGAGTTATTAGCATGAAGCTTCTCTTACTGATCAATGCAAAAAAAAAAAAACACAACTTTATCACACATTACATACAATTTTCTGACTTCTCTAGGTGATTTTTAAAGTGGCAGTCATTTCCAAAAAACAGCAGGGCAGTGTAGTTTTTAGCAACGTTTTCTGAAACAGAGGGGAAATATTGCATTTGTTGGGGACTATTTTCAGTGGCAGAATAATCCACATTTGCTCTAGGGAGTATTTCCAGCAGCAGGATGTCTATGGAAGTGAGTCAAAATAAACTATAGTGTGTGTGTGTGTCTACATGAAAAATTATAATGTAAACTGTGAACAGTTACATTAGTTACTGCCAAAAGTAGTGGAATTACAGTAGCGCCAATGCTAATGAAGGAACACCCGGTGTAACAGTGTGTTTGTTATAGTTTCTGGACACCAATGGAGCCCTATGCAAAGAGGAAAAATACATATCAGGCTTTTGATACACAACACACCTTCTACAGTAGCCCAGAATGAACAAACCAAACACTGGCTCTTTGTTCGTTTTTCATGCGTTTCTCCCTCGCGCTTGGAAAGGAAGGGTGAAACGAGCAAATGGCGATCTGCAGCTACACTGCTAGACGCCAGTAAATCCTGCATACTGGACCTTTAAATCAGCAAAGAGGTCACCTGATTATCTTGCTAACATTATCAAGACACATACTGGATCCAATTCAAATAAATCATGTGTATTCAGTTCTGTGCAGGTAAACACAATGACTGTCAGGACAAAAGATCAGATCACCTGAAACAGTCAAACCCAGTCCCAATTTGCTTTTTATAGGAGCGGTTGAATCACCGGTTCCTTTAAAACAACAGGCCAGCCTCTCTGTGGTCACAGCTGCATCGCAGGCACACTGAGGTGCCACACTACATGGATGGAAACTAACATCGCTCTGAAACAGCCCAGCCACTGTCACAGAAAGCAGAAGTCAAAGAGAGAAAAAAAGTTCCCCGCATTCAGATATTCCATCAAAGAAGAAGCTCAAGTAAGCCACAGATTGTCAGACAGATGACTGAAGACGTGACCAGATTAAAGGTCGCGGTTGTTCTTGGGGTTCAGAGACTGATAAAAACTGATTGGGCCGATATAACATGACAAATTCACACTCATGTATATCAAATATATTCGAGATTCACATCTTTCTGTGATCCATTTTTACTCATACTGGCTATTTTCCTATTAAATAACTTTGTAATCTTTAAGTGTGTATTAAGTGGTTGCACAGCTTTAAAATGCAGAATAACACCAAGAATTATGAAGTTAATGTCAAACATGACCCTTGACTGTCAGTACACTTCCTGCAGGAGTGTCTTTATATTGGACTGATACGCAGGCAATCGAAACCTGTACTTTTCCACTGACTTTCACTAAAAGTACAATGGCTGGGGGCGTACTGGTAGCCTAGAGATTTTAAGTGGTAACCATGAACCACAATGTCCCCGGCTCGAGTCCGGCTGAGGACCTCTGTTGCAAGTTGTTCCCCATCTCGCTTTTCTTTCATTTCCTGTTATCTCGCTACTGTGGCTACAAAAAAAGGCACAAACTGCAACTGTGCAGATGCAGGACATGTTACGAATCTGAGGATGTTTTTCGCCTTTAAAGAAACATTTGGGTTTAAAATAACTTGTTTCTTTTTAACATAACAGTCTTCACACAGGATCCTCAGCTGACATGGAAAAATAGACGATCAAACTTTACATTGTCCTGGACACTTTTAGGTATTCTAATGAAGTTGAAATTAAGTGGAAATTGTCGTTAACTGATGTTTGGAATTGACTATAACAATGCACTCATCAGAGTTATTATTGAGTAATTATATAAGAAATTACAATTGTACTTAATCAAAATTCCTATATGGGAATCACAAGAAGCTGTCAAAATTATTATAATTATTATAATATTCCCATTTGAACCTTTTTAATGACTATAGTTAAACATAAATAATCAAATGTTTTATCTACCAGGTGGCGGAAGGATTAAATTTAAAAATGCTGGACAATATGTTGCTGAGTGATGTTTCTTGAACTGGGAAATCCAGGAAAAGGAATTTTTCACAGCTGATAGTTTAAAAGTAACAAGACAAAATGTAAATTAGTTCCTGCTTGGCTCAACTTTCTATCATTTTTTTGTACCCAGTTAAAACATTTGGGAGACATCCGGGTAACTAACAGACAAAACAAGCAAACACACAGGACAGACATCAAAAGCTCCTCAGAGAACGTAACAAACAGTATTCAAACCTAAAGTTTCAAATTTAATACGGGATGCCAACGCTTTTTCAAATGTTTATATGTTGATAAAAATGAGTCAAACTTCTAATTAATTAACTTTTGCCTCTTAAAAGCAAAACAACTGCATCGCCTGTTAATGGGAGGAAGATGTATCCTGTGGAATTTCCCGGCCTTACTTTACAAAAGATAATCTGTTTTACAGAAAATACGCTCACGCTTGTCTGATTTTCGACAACTTTCTGTAAAAATTGCTGTGCTGCACCCCTGTTTTTCCATCTTTTTAGCCGTATGTTATGTTCATGTATTGTTGTTCTTGATATCATTTTTACTTTACATTTTTATCTCACAGACTGAAGCCTGAAATGTTATATTATTTTATTGCTGTCTGTGTTTTTCCTCTTTCAGAAAATGATAATAAATCAATGTCAACTGTACAAGAACTTTGCCTGGAATAAGTTTACAAAACCTGATGCCACACACATCGCAGTGAGTACCAAAGAACTGTTGAGGTCAGCCTCAGGAAACAGCTTGAGTGAGAAAGCTCAGATCTGCAGATTACAAGCCTGATGGGACATTTTCTCCTTCCCTAGAAAGGAAATTGCATCAGGCAGTGCAAGCAGCTAACTAAAAAAATGACAGATAAGTTACCTGAAGACATGGTACACCGTTCCCGGTGGGGTGCCAGGCCCAGGATCCCAATGCAGGACATGGAAGAAGTTGACAGAGGTGATCGTCAAATTGACCGGAGCGGGAAGGGAACCCAGCACTGCGGGATCATGGGAACAAACACGTGATGCAGTCTGACTCGTAGGCACAAGGTACAAAGGAAACACCTGGCAGGGCACTTTAATGAGCCGGCAGCTTTGATAACAACATCAGGGCGTGTGTGTGTGAGGGAGAATGCTATCTCAGGTATTCAACAAAGTACGACTTCCAGTAAGACGTAAGCATTAACTGGAGCGAACTTGGTGTTACTCACCAGAAACAAGCAGTGACAGGAGATAAAGAACAAGAGGAAACAAGTTCATCCTTTCACACTAATGGGGCACCAGATAGTGTGTGTCCATAGCCCTCCATGGACTGCATTGTCAGGGTCTAAAAACAGGAAACAGTATTCCTTATATTCAACAGACATCCCATTTATTTCCTTAATAGGAATAACCACATTAATGCCATTCCCTCTCATGTTTTAATGATAATAACTGACTTTCCCTGCGTGTTAAAGCAGAATAACCTGTTGCAGCTCTCACAGTGACTCATGTGAATATTATCACGCAGGTTTGAGCTGAAACTGAACTGCGTTTGTCATTTTTTTAAACTTTATTCTGACATAAATTCAAACACTATGGAGCATTAAACTGACCTAAAACACACAGATTAGCGCTTTTTCTGACTGCCTGTTGCTCCTATTAACACTATCCTGGTTAAATGTCAGTCTACACACATATGAATAACAATGGCTGACACATTTAGAGAACACAGCAGTCAGGATCTGAGAGAGGAGCAGCTGCAGTCACTTACCGACGCTCCGCTGGAGGATCACTGTGTTTCAGTGTCCGAGAAGGAAAAGTGAATTTCTCTCCGAGCAGTCGCACAACGTCCTCCCCGTGACGTCGACATCACTGCAGCAAGTCTCACGTCAAAGTGCACGAAAAGATACTGCTTCTTCCCGTGTCTCCTTCAAAATAAAAGTCACACTGCCCAAACACCTGTCGCACCTGTTCTAGTGTGGCCTTCAGACAGGGTTGGGAGGGTTACTTAAGACAGGTAACCCGACATGCCTGTTTAAATATGTATCACAGTATAAAGAGTGTAAATGAAAGTGTGGATATAAATGTATTCTATAACAGGACTATGTAACATTTGGGAAGAAAATGCATCAAATGAGTCATGGCTCTGTGTATTTTATTTTTAGAGAATAACTAATAATCTGACTGTAAAACTGTATTTTTGTATCCTATATAACTCAGTTACATGTAATCCATTACTTCCCAAGCCTGCATACAGAATACAGAAAGAAGCAGCGGCGTAATGTAACTGAGTACATTTACTCAAGTACTGTACTTAAGTACAAATTCGAGATGGTTGTACTTCACTTGGGTTTTTCCCTTCTACTCCACCACATCTTTTTCCTTAAGGGACCTTTTTCTATCATTGAGTAAACTGACTAAGTGACATATTTTATGGATATTTAATATTCAATGCATAACACAGTGCATATCAACGGAACTGTGCAATGAACTGCAGGATGTTTGTATAAAACAAGCAAGCTGGATGGATTGTGAGCATATTTCCTGTGAATGTTGCATCAGAGATGAATTTCCCTCCCCCCTCCCACAGTTACAGCAGCCATATGCACTATTTTTCAAGCAACAGAATACCAATTTGTATCTAATTGTTCTCCAACTGTCTTCATCATTCTGAAATCATCACACAACAAATGTTGAGGATGATTATTTTCACTCCAGCTACCTAAAAGAGGTAACAATTGTCTGATGTTATTATTTTAAAGTTGCAAAACATAGGTAGGGTATAATTTAGTGTAAACACAATTATTGATCTTGAAACTTTTTTTTTATTAAACTATAGTGGAGTTCACAAAATAAATGTTTAGCTGATAAATCTGCTATGTTTGAAACCATGCCATAGTAATATTTCTCCATTAATAGAATATTTGCTCCATTGATCTTACATCAGAGAGATTGAGGGAAAATGACACAAAGTTGAAACCTTTTTAAATCCTAAAAGATTTTAGTCTTTTTTGTGGTCATAAAAAACTACAAGATAGAAATTTCCTTTGGATTAATAGCTGTCACAGCAGAAAAAACGTTGCAACCCTATCCTAACCCTGACCCTTGGGACAAGCAGCTAATTATACTGTTTATGAGAGATTCATATTTTACACACCATTATAAGAAATCATGTATGCCTCACCTGCCTGCCCTGAGGATTAATCTATTAATTTGAAGAAGTCATTTAACTTCCTGTGTGTGTACTTACCAAACGTCACTGGGTAGTTTCCAGGCTGAGCTGTTTTTCCCCTTTATTTGTTCAGGGGCCACTAGAGGGCGGTGAGAGAGAAGATAAAATCTTGACTCTGCCCTCTGTGGCTTCATGCAATGCTATTACATAAGCTATTTGTAGAATGACTCAATGAGAAAATCAAGTCCCTGGAATATTCCTACGAGGACTAAAACTGGTCCTGAGGAACTCAAACAGTTGTGTTGTTATAACGAGTAGAGACATGGTAGCAGCAGTAATCCCAAAGAATTTCTACCTTTACAATACATAAAAAAAAGTTAAAAACCAACATTATATCTTATCAGTTGTGTTGACTGATTTTTTATGTAAGTAAATATCTGAAGTTTGCATATTGTATTGCACTGATAATACTCCTGCAAACAAGTATCATATGAATATCTTATCTTGACAGGAGAGGGAGTTGAAGCCTTTTTCTTTGAAGCCTGTTTTGAATAACGCTCTGAAATGTGACAGCTCCGGAGTTCAGTTAAAGCAGTTTAAAGATGTAATCTGGAATTTAATTTTGGTATCATCTAAATGTTGCTGCTGGTGATTCAGACCACAGCTAATTGATGAAACCGCTCTACTGAGACTTCAGTTTTTGATCTAAACATAATTTGCAATGAATGTGGCTGTTAGTAGCCTAACATTGAAATGTTCTGTGCCCATTTGGAGAGCAAAATGACCCATCTCACACCCCATTGCACGCTGATGGTTATCAGAAAATGGTGGATGCAGGCCACACTGGTAGACTGCACACCCCCGAGGCACTTTGCTGCATGTCATCTGCTCTTTCTCCCCCACTTTCCTGTCTGTCTTTAACTGTCTCCATAAAAAATAAAGGCATAAAAACACCCAAAATACAAACAGACATCGATGGAAATTTGGTATTTGTTTGTATTTGCATTGTTGCCACGTGTCAAGGTTGAGTTCATGTATCCTCTGGTTGCTCAGGTTGTTGTTATGTGTAGGGAGACAGTTTCCATCCCTGCAGGCTGTTGCTGCTCACACTTTACCAGCACCTAAAATTGCAACTGAGTCTTCAGTTAAATCCTAATGTGTACAGTAAACTCACTAAATGTTTATTTAGTTGTTCAACTTGTTTTCTCCTTAAATTATAAGTATGTTGATAAAACAAAAACGACAAATGTGCCAAAGAAAATTTCAACTAATCCCAAATGAGTCTGGATAGAATAAGTAGACTGATGAAACATTCATCCATATGTTACAACAAAGATTGAGAAGTACCGACATATGCAGACTATATAAAAAAGTGGTAGACTATATGAATAAGGTACAAATAAGTATTTAAGAATAATTACAAACTTGTTTTTATTTTTAGAGATTTAGCCATCACTCGTATTGGTATTAATAGCACAGTCACCTCACCTGAGATCTGGAAATGCAACAAAGTTTGGTGCAACTCCAAACATCAGTGTTGATATTGGGCAAATTGGCAAAAGCCTTTAATATGTTCAATGACAACAGTTTCACTGCCAATGTTTTTACATTCTTGCCTCCTACAATGTCAGTGAAGAGCAACTACAACATGGTTAAAGTTAGGGAAGGATCATGGTTATGGCGAATAAAAAGATTTCAGTCAACAGCTAAATTACAGCTAAAAACATCTATTAAAAGTAATTTTTCATCATATTATTGGAATATTATTACTTCAAGTCAGAGTCAAAGTATCCGCTAATAATAATAATAGTTTACTTTTTAAACCACAAAGTTACAAAGTGCTTCACATAAAACACACATATAAACAGCCTGCTCATGGTTCTTGTCCTGTCATACACTGCCGTGTTGCCGTGTTTCCTGAACTAAGCAAATACTTTGGTGAGAATAGTGTTTTCATAATTAATAGAAATGATTGCCACAAGTACAAAAGAAGGCATACGTTGTAAATAAACTGGATTTATCCTTAACAAAGAAAAGATACAGCACTTTGCTAGGGCGTAACCATGCATTCTTTGGGGGCGTGTCCCACCTAAAACTGAAAAAGTACCAATCTGTCCCCCCCAATATACAGTAGAAATATGTTTTTTTTTTCCCCGCTCTCTTGTTATTTCCTATTTATTTTCAATGTATGTCCATTTGTTAAAGAAAACATTAAGTGTGTGACTCCCCCAACTTGGCCGCGCTAGGTTCCCTCAGCGTTGCCAGCTTGTTGACTTTTCAGACTCTCTGAGCGACTATATAATTTTCCCCCATTGGAAGCCATCCTATTTGCTACTACTGGAAAATGTATAATTGTAATTGGTAGGTGCATTTAAAGTCAATAAACAGTGAGCAACCAAAACCAAATGAAGTGGAGGGGCAGCCACTATCTCGGGGTAATCACAGACTATTGCTTTAAATGTGAATTCAAATGTCAATATAGCCCTGAAAACTACAATCTAAAACTATAGAATTGTGGGAAATGCACTGATGAAACAGCCCTGTTGGAGGGCTCTCATTTGAACCCCCCACAATATCTGTGCCATGGTTATGCCCTTGGTACTTTGTAAATATGGCCCCATGTTTAATGGAATAATAAGTATACGAGCAGTGATCCCAGAAATGGTTGAACAAAGAAATAAGAAACCCGGACTGTGGGATTCACAGCAGTGGTGATGCGTTGGCAACAAACAAACAAATAAATGGAGACAAGCTACAGAAAGAAATGCATCCCAGAATCTCACATCAACTGTAATGTGAAGATTAGGAATACAATGTAAGACAAAGGAACCACAAAACCACTTTTTACAAACTTTTTATTATCTCAGACTATACAGAGGAACAAAGTTTGTGGACAATCCACATCGTCTTTTCATGGTAAACAAATAAGCTCCAGGAATTTGCTTAAATAAGCCAAATTATATACAGATCAAACCTGCCAAACCATTTCCAAATACACAATCTGTTCCTTAAACAGTACATGATTCACCCATGAGTCGCCTAACGTGCCAAAGGTTGTAAAAAATGCAGATCTGCAGTTTGTACAAATCTTTAGGCAAATATAGCCGTGGGTTAAAATCATAGCAAATCTGTGTTTTACATTTGAACAATTACATTCCCTGATGCAAGTATTTAAGGTGCTGTAACGAAGATCAAGAGAGAAGAAAAGAAAGAGATGGAAGTCGAGGCTCTAACACAAGAGAGTGATGTCAAACCTAAAAAACCCAGTGATCTCATTTTCACTCATTTTGTGGTAGAATGTTCCAGACGTTTTAAGACTGTGTGATGTGCGCTGACGGGAGCATTCACAAAGTCTCACGGCCTGCTCTAAACATCCTGTCTGAAAACCATTAGAAGGTGGCTTGTGGAGGTGTGTAATCACGCCGTTCACCAGATGGGAGTGACTAAAGGCCAAATTCTGGCTCCGCAAAATGCTCGGTAAGTTTCCACCAGTGTTATGGGTGAATTAAGTTCAAGTCCGTTCCTGTGCTGAGTACTGGGTGTGAGTGTTGGCTTAAAGGCAACAGAAAGGTGTCCGGACTGTGTCGAAAAAGCATAGAAGATTTCAGTACCCACTCTTTTATATATACAGAGCGAATCACCTCTGCATGCTCTGGTTGTATTTTCTAAACCAGATTAAACTCAGCCTGTTGCATAATGAAATGTGTTTCCATTCAGCAAACAAAGAGCCACAGCTTAGTCTTGTTTCAGAAAAAGGGTATGGGTGTTTTTAGGCCAGGCCCAGACGTTAATAGTCACCATCCTGTTTCCATATCCATGTGTAAGAAAGTGCATTCAGTGCCAGGATGCAGCCCTGCCTGACAGTCACAGGGCAAAAAAAGTTAACATCAAACTAAAGAAAGATCTGGTAACGCAGAAAAATTGTTTTATGTACGACTGGGCTGAAACAAAGCATCTTTGGTGGCCACAAATGGGGACAAAGAAAAGAATAACTGCACTGACGTAAATGGAAAAACGGCCACATTTTTTCTGTAGTCATTACCTTTTCACAGAGGACATTGTGGTGTTGATGGCTACAGTGTTGCAGTGTGGTGTAATGGCAATTTAAAAAGTATTATTTAGGATTTGCTTCTTTCCAAAAACTCATTCAGAATCATACACACATTTTCTAAATTACTAAATTGGCCTTGAATTGTAACCTTACTCAGCAGTATGTTGTGCATTTCAGTCAATTTCTTTAGAGAGGGATGTTAATACAAATATTAATAGCCTACTGTTTTCAGCAGCCTTTTGCAAGAACCATGCATTTCCCACTAGCCCAAACCATCCTAGATTAAATCCTATCACTTTGACAGACAAGTCGAGTGGTGCAAAAATAGAAAGTTGGAAAGATGACTTTAGAAGAAAGCCTTAGTGTATATCAAGGATAAGGGATTTACGGTAATATATAATACAAGCAATGATAAACTTCATGGAAGTAGTTTCTCTTCTAATTATTGTTTAAAGCTGCAATAACCAGTGGTTTACATTAGCAATGGATCAAATGTGTATGTGAAAAGCATCGGTTGCAGTATATTACTTTGCAGTTTCCTTCAGCTCTAAACTTTCTCTCTTTAAACTAATTTTTTAGTTTTTTTGGCCCACAAATGTACTGTTCTGATTCACTCACACTGATAGCATAGCATAGTTTTTGGGCGTAGCAGTTTTCAGTAAAAGAAAACTCAGCACCAAACAGCAGACAGACAATGTTAGCAACTAGCTTGTGAACACAGTGGAGCTTTTAGCAGCTAAAGAGACAGATATTTTTCTCAGGAGTTGGTGGAGACCAAAAATGGGTAGAGTAGAGTTAATATTGGACTTTTTGTCACTCCAAATAAACGTTGCTCTGTGTCTGCTGGATGGTAACACATTAGCCATCTGTATTGCAAATTTAACTTAGATAGCAATCTATTTTTATAATATATATTATATTATAAAATAAAAAAA